GATAGGTTTGGCTGCCAGGCTGCATATGCTGCATTTGGCATCCCGCCGGACGGTCGGCTTGCCCGCTTTTTTCTTCTTGCCTCTAGCACCCGTAAGGCCTAGCTTAAGGGACTTGCTGTAATTGAGGCTCTATCATGATGCCCTGGTCTTGATGAAAGCGGCTTGGCTTCATGATAAGTTGACCAATCGTACCGGGGTCAAAGCAACTTCCAGCCAATAGAAATAGGATTTCAGGGCGAGGCAACCCTACCTTTCTTTTCCACCCTTTCCACCCACCCCACCTTGAATCGTTAGCTGGCAAGTTAGAAAGTTCAGGGCTGGATAGAGCCCCCACGGCCCCTGCATTGATAGATACCACGGGCTGTCTTGGACCGTGTGCGCTGCCAAGTTAATGTACTGTGAAGATAAAGACGAAACAGGACGTACTAACATGTGATATGAAGGAGTAATACACCTATCTAGAGGTGTCCTCTGTACATAATTTAATATTTCTGTGTTACCTACAACCTCAAAATTATTAGCTCGGACAATGGACGACAGCTCAGGTATGATTAGAAGCTTTGGTACGATTCCGTAGTCTCTCGAATCGTAAACTGATTGCTCATGACGACATTGTAGCGGAAAGGATGGGACCTTTACTCCGTCGCCCGTCACCCCCGTGGAGGGGAAGGACACGCAAAGCTAGTGGGGCGGGTAACTCTAGTACGGTAACTGGCAGATTTAGCTCAGCACAGATCCTGAGTATCATATCATGGATCTTTGTTCCATTTCTACTTAGGTAGGTACCTAAGAAACATATCAAAATATCCGGAGTTTTCTGTCCAGTGTCTCTTAATAAACATGAGTCAGTCATGTCTTTCAAAGATCCAAATTGGTATCTGTGCACCGTGCAACACATGGAACACACTCTAAATATAGAATGGTTAGACTAGACCCCTTTATCAAAACTTAGACCTAAGGAAAGTGTCTCGTTGTCCGTACAGTACAAACCTTGTTGGATCTAAAAAAGCTGTGGGTCCTTTATCTCTTGCCCAGGTGGTCTTTGCAGTTGTACCCCCACTCCAATTTAGTGAGCATGGCCACTAGCGTAGCGAACTTGCCGCCTCCCTTGAGGGCCAAGACCAGCATCAAATTTTGAAAGCTGAGCTGCTTGACTAAGTGGGGCGGCGAATTCGCGTCATGTCCAAATCTTGAATGCATCGAAGATCTTCTCCTCAAGAACCTCAACCGAGTTCACCATCGTCTTAAGTCCCGGGCTCAAGGGTAGCATTCACTCAATTTCCGAGTCCCATTCCATTCTTTTTCAACCATCTCTTTTCCCCCGTCTCCCCTCAAACCATATCTAGAATCTCCAGTCTTCCCCGACTTCGATCCGACTAATATCCAACCCAGGATCGTCTTTTACGGGCCAGATCTAGACCACTTCGTTGTGTGTTCTATTCAAACGTACATATTTCATACCACACGCCCATATTCTACTACAGCGAGGTTTAAGCGACAATCAGTTCCGACATTCGTTACCTTTCGCATCACTTGTCATCGGCATAATTCTTCCGTATATCTGGTTGTGCATCTTTTTGATGTTTGGACACCCTCACGTCAAGTTCGGGTGGTAGTTCCGTCAGTATTAAGATACAAACCGAAGGACAAACCCCGAAGTTACTTATCTGGTAGCGTACCTACTCATAGGCATCTTCATTATGGCTGGTCACAATGAATATGACGAGAAGGGTTCGCCGACTCTGACCCACGCCCCAACCGTCTCTGACACAGCAGTCGACTCGGACAACTACGTCAACAAGTTACAACCCGAACATTCGGACCATTCACATCTTCGAGTCCCTGACGACTCAGGGCGACACGCGGATCACGGTTACATGTCGCAGACCGAGTCTAGGGATCAGGCAAATCGACTTGTTGACGATCTCACACTCCTCCAGGCGGAGCAAGCTGTCAGCCACCGAGAATCGACCGAGCTTCGTCGTGCTCATTCTAAGGCAAGGAGCCATGAACCGGTGAAGGAAGATGTGTTTAATCAACCAACCCAAACGCCGACTATTGGTCTGCCGGATGAGCCTCCGAACAAGTTCATCAAAGCCCTCCGGAATATCAAGGGCCTTCCCAGAATTGTTCGGTATTTTCTTTACTGTTTACCTGCCACAGCCATCTTGATAGTGCCGATTATCCTCGGTATCAAGAAACCTCAGAACGAGCAGCCTGTCATCGGCGGCCCGGGAGGTGTCCAGTTACTGTGGTTCGGAATCTGGCTAGAAGTTATCTGGCTGTCGCTGTGGGCCGCTCGAATCGCCACATCGTGCATGCCCAAGGCCATGAGAGGTATAGCCAAGCTGCTTGGGTCAGGAAACTCTAAGAAATGGTCACAGGTTGGCTCGCAGTTGGAAATCCATACCGCCATGTTCTTGTGGATGCTTGCTTTGCTAATTTCCTACAATCCCACCCTGAACAACCACAAGGTACCAGCCTCGGTACCGGATGAAGCCGATACTCCATATCCTTCGATTCAATGGATCGGAATTGTGTATAAAGTTATAATAGCCCTCTTCGTCTTGGCTACTTTGAACTGGTTCGAGAAAATATTTATCCAATGGATTGCCACGTCGTTCCATTTGCGGACATATGCGTCACGTATCGAATCGAATAAACAACAAATTGCGTAAGTCTCTTTACTTTGAGTACTCTGGCCCTATGGTAACTAACGAGAGATAGCTACTTGGTACACCTCTACGAATACTCGAAGGATAGAATGGTCTCGGAAGCTTCAGTCATGAATAATCCTGGCTCGGCTTCCGGTACTCGAACACCCATGGCGATGTTTTCGGACAATGCTCGAGACACTCTAGCAAGGGTCAACGATATCGCGAATCGTGTAGCTGGCGACTTCATCGGACGCGAGGTGAAAAATCGAAACCATCCGAGAAAGGTCGTCTCCGAACTTTTACGAAGTACGAATTCTGCACAAGTGCTAGCACGACGCCTTTTCCGCACGTTCGCTGGACCCGGCGCCGAGGTGTTGCTGCCACAAGACTTAAATCCGGCTTTTCCCAGCGAGGATGACGCCGAGGCTGCGTTCCTTGTGTTTGACCGCGACTTGAATGGTGATGTGTCCATGGATGAGCTCGAAGCATTCTGCGACGAGGTTCATCGTGAGAAGAAAGCTATAGCGGCGTCAATAAAGGACCTTGACTCCGTGATTACTAAACTGGACAGGGTTCTCTTTTTCGTTATTCTCGTTATTGCTGCCCTTGTGTTCGTTTCGATCATCTCCTCCTCTACTGCATCAGCTTTAGCGTCTGCTGGTACTGTTATTCTCGGTCTCTCATGGCTTCTGCAAGCCACAGCACAGGAATTCCTACAGTCGATTATCTTCGTGTTTGTTAAGCACCCGTTTGACGTTGGGGACCGAGTCACTATCTACGGCAACGTCGGTTCTCTCATGAGAGGCGATGATTACTACGTGACAGAAATCTCACTACTATATACCGAATTCAAGAAGATGGAAGGTCATATTGTACAGGCTCCTAACTCCATCCTGAATACTCTATTCATCCTGAACCACAAACGCAGTGGATCGTTGGCCGATGTGTTCGAGCTCAGGATGAAGTACGGTACCCCTTCAAGTCTTATTAAGGAGCTAACAGCTCGTATGACGGAGTATGTGTTGGAGAACAAGCGCGACTTCACGAGCAAGATTATTACGGAGCTTCGTGGTTTCGAAGACGCGTACTGCATGACGGTTAACTTTATCTGTTTCCACAAGACGAGTTATCAGAACGAATTGTTACGTCTGACTCGACATAACAAGTTCGCCGAAGAGCTCATGGATCAGATGGTGGCGCTTGGCATTGAGCAGCCCCGACGACAATACCAGATTTCTGGACACGACTGGCCCGTCTATCAGTCGAATGTTCAGCCTCCGTCGCAAGAAGAGAAGCAGCCGACAGTGGACCCCGAGTTGCTGACGGCGACCCGCCGACGAGCCAATTCGCACGCTACGGACACTACAGGAGACATTTTCCAAGACGTATTCGTCGCCCGAAGGACTAGCGTTTCGGCTACGAACCGCCCTCCCCGTATAATGGAAGAAGACTTCTCCGACGAGAATCCCGCCGTCGGTAGTAGTACTGGATTGGAGAAACCGCCCACGAACGGTAGCAACGGTGGGAGCAGTAGCCGTCGCTACTTTAGCCGCTCGAAGAAGAGCGTGGAGCCCTCGGAGAGGGACGCCGATATAGTTTAGAGAGCGGCGTCATCCTCCGAGCGGGGACTGAGTGCGGTAGGGAGCGATTCGGTGGTTACCAACCGGGGGGCAGAAAGTGGGGAGGTAGAAGGCGGAGAGGCAGGAGGCGAGAAGAAGGAGGAGGTAGAAGGCGGAGAGGCAGGAGGCGAGAAGAAGGAGGAGGAGACACGAAAGGTAGATTGGAAGGGAAAGGGAAAGCAACAATAAGAGCGAATACGAATTACGGCATAACGTTGCGGATTTCACTACGGGAAAATGAGTCATAGATTGGCATGGCTAGAGACGATATAGACTGGAATTGGGCATTATACCCACGCTGGCTCAAGCGTTATTAGAATTTATTAGTGGAGGGCGTATAGCGGATGATCATACTTCTTCTTCACACCTTTCACCATTACGATTTCATCTGATCTGAAGTTGGCGATGATAAGGCCGTTTACGGGATTGCTTCACAGGTGGATGGGCTACTATCGTTGGCACTATCATGTCGCGAAGGATTGTATATTAGCGTTAGCAGAAACAATTGTAATTATACATAAGGCACAGACATCAAAAATAAGCCAAAACATGACGAGTCGTGATCTACTCACCTCCTCACTCTCAATGGTATGTGCATGTACGGATTAGCCACGGAACATATCCTTTCCATCGTCATCTCTTTCGCGACGACACACGCAAAGGAGAGTTAGACTTGTTCAAAAAAGTTGGGCAGGTACCTAATAAACGAAAAATAAAAACGAACCGACACGAGCAGGATTTGAACCTGCGCATCCGAAGATATGAGATATCGTAAACCGAACCGAATCGGATCTAGTTCAAGTCTCACGCGTTAGACCACTCCGCCATCGTGCCCTTTTTCTGCCTAGTAAGGAGTTCCTGGATGTAACTTTTCCACGGCTTAACTACCATCGTAATGCCAACTACCTAAGTTACACGCAACCACTTATTACGAGGTCTCTTGAGCTATACTATACATTATGTACCTAGGCAGCGATATATACATCTTACCTTGTATGTATGAATGTTTGACAAGGCCGTCGCGATCTTTTCGTGCTCGGAATTGACGGATCCTAGCTTACAATCCGGCCAGGCAATCTAGGAGACAGTCATTAACTATCTTGGTCAAGGCACACAGACACAAAAAGACAAAAAGTAGTTTAGCAAGACAGCAAGACATTTTGCTGTTCCATATATTCATTGAGTTCCCTTTCCTCTCCTTTCCTTTCCCTTCCCTTCCGTAGCTACCATGGCATTTCCGTTTCCATGTCCAGTCAAGTTACAATTCCGTCCCCCAGTCTATGCGATTAGAGTCGAACAAAAGTCAAGTTTTGGGTATCTCAAATTACAAGAAAAAACCAATGTGCTTATGCTTGCCGCCGCCGACTCCTGAAATGTGCGTGGGGTGGAATTTTGTTTGTAGTAGAAAAAAAACCGTTGAATTGTCGTAAGGTTTAATTCCCTTTATTTCTGTGAAGCAAGCATTCCATAACGCCGTTCCATGTGAGGTCCAATAGGTACCTTGAGAAGTTCCGCCACTCCGGGCTCGCACTGATCGTGTCATAATTCTCCTCCCCCTATTCACTTTGTACAAGGCGTCCTGCCTAGCCACGTCCATTTGACGTAGAATATACCAACATCATATCTAAACAACTTTTTTCTTTCTATTTTTTTTCTTCTCGTCCAGCTTGTCTGTTCCTCCTCTACCAGTATTCCTCAGGATTACTTGAACATTTTCGTCCAAGAGGTCGGTCGTACCCTGGATGACGTATTTCTACTGCAGTCTTCCGCCTGTTGCAACAACCTTGCGATATCTGCTAGGTGGGTCTGAGCATCAACAGATTCTTCAATGTCGCTCTTTGCTCTCTTGCTGCCATTAGGCGAGCCGATTGCATCCGGGGTTGCGTGGACTTCCTCATCTTCGCGGTTGCGCTTTCGCTTGCGGCTTCCAATGCTCGAAGGCGAGCTGTTGGGTTCATCTGGTCGTATCCCATCAAATTGAATGGGCGGTGAGGAGTATCGATGCATCGGGGGTGATTGATCGGGTGTTGTGGTCTGAGCAGGTGGCAATCCGTAGTTTCCGAAACCAGGAATCCGCTTTCCCTCCTGCAACATAGGTAGCGCTATAGACTCGTGCAGATATTCTCCATTGGGCATCTTCACGAGCCCGCGGGCTTTCAAGCGCCAGTACGGATCCGAGACTCTCGAACGGGACTTTGAAACTTTGCTGTCGTTGTGGCCAAGACTAGAGCGATAGCTAGAGCTGAAAGTCGAATTACGGAGACTCCCGTTTGTCATAGACATGTTATCTCGACCAGAACCGTTGTAACGCGCTTTTAGCATCGCCGTCTTGGAGCCTTCCTTATATTTTGGAGGCTCCGGCAATGCCTTGAGTGGATTAAGCCCGTGCTTGGTTCGTCGGTGGTTCTCAGCTCGTCGCGACACACTTCCACGGTCTGCATCCTCGTCTTCGTTCCATCCAGCGGCGTGATGCGCTGCGGCTCTTTCGTCTCTAACGCCCTTGAAAACGCCCGTCGCAATGAGCGCGTCCTCAAGGCCCTGTAGCCTCTCGTCAACGCTAGACGTGCTGGAACCTGGTCGATTGAGTTTGCTTTCAAGGGTTTGTATCCTTGCTTCGAGTCGCGCTGACTGCCTCATCCTGACAGCTTCGTCCACGTTGCGTCGACTCCTCTTAATCATCGACTCCTCAGCTTGTCGAGCTATCCTTTCTTGCTCTTCCTTGGCTGCAAGTTCACGCTTTGCAATGTTCTCGGGTAGATACCAGATTCTCGCCTTTTCTCTCTCGACTTTCATGCGTCTGATTCTTTGTCTGTCGCGAAAGCCTTGATGCCAGCGATAGAAATACTTGACCCCCAGACTGTATTCTCTGTACTTGCGCGCTGCGGCCCACGATTCTTCTAATTCTTGTTTTCGTTTGCGTTCCTCTTCTTCTGCCTGATGTCTTTCCCAGAACCCGTCGAGCGCATGGCCGACTGCAATTTCGAGGAGCCGCTCATCCATTAGGCCTTTATCGCCACAGACAAACCAGCGAGTGAAATCGTCTAATGCCTTCTCCCGTCTCGCTGTCTGGGCAGCAGTCGGCGAGATCGTTCGATCAGATGATTGCGACAGGAAAAGATCTCCTGTTGGGGTGGGTGCGTCCTTCGACCCGATATCCTGCGGTTGAGGTGTTGCCCACTGTTGAAGAGTGGTGGGGGCTTGTTGGGCTGTAGGCGCAGCTGTGGGTTGTGCCTTTATGGAGGATGGAGAAGTAAGCGTGCTGGTAGCTGTAGGCTGAGTTGCATCGCTAGTAGGTGGTAGTATCGAAGTTGCGGGTTGGAGAAAAGATGGTCGAGGTTCATCTTTGTTGGACGAAAGTCCCGAGAAGGGATTGATGGAAGCACTTGGAGTAGGGGCATTAAAGCCCAGGCTTGGTGTCGTAGGCGTGCCCAAGGGGAAGGGTTGTTGGGGTTGGTCTTTGTTAGATGAATGAGACGGATTTGATTTGACTTCCGGTAAAGGACTAGGCGCAGACGTGGCAGGCGTAGGCAACTTATGCTCTAGCTTTTCTGACGTCTTTGATGAAAGGCTCGAGAAGATGCTCGGGCTTGGTGCATCTTTGCTTTCATTTTTGTTCAAAAAATTGAAGGGGCTTGGTGCGCCAGAAACACTTCCATATAGGCTAGTTTTCTCAGGCATAGGCTGTTCTGTAGGTACATTGGAGGTAACCGGTGTCTGGTTAGGCGAAGAGGCGTCGGGTTTGGGTGCGACATCTGTGCTGACTTCTACAAGTGGAGTTGTTGACAGGTCTGTTGAAGCAGAAGCCACACTAGAAAGTGACGGACTTCGAGATCCAACATCGCTCGGCTGCACAATTGATGGACTGGGAATAGATGCACTAGGCATGGTAACGGCGTGGTTTCCAAACATCGCAGGAAGAGGGCGAGGCGAGGCTGGGGGCGTAGAGTCGGCTGTAGCTTCACTATCCCACTCACTTTCAAGCCTTCCCTGGTTCTCTTGAACGTCCTGGCCATCGCTGCTGATGAGGGAGGACATGTTATGATCCTCGCTGACAAATAGGCTATCCTCAGGGCTGAGTAGGACTTCAGTGTGCTCATTGTCAACAATCTCGTACACAGTTTCGTGTATGATGGTGGGGAGAGATCGTCCGCAACGCTTGCGCTCTACGATGTCTTTCGAAAACGAGTGCGGTACACGAGCATCGACATATTCAGGACTGGGGCTAAGCATAACATATCCATCGCTGAACTGAAATCCGTGCTTCTGGAAAAACTCGACAGCTTCTTCTTCGGTATCCGTGCGTAAGTACTGTTTCAACACGGCGGGTGTTAGATCTTTGGGTCCGAATCGCGGTCTCGAAAATGATTTCTTGAGAGTCTGGAGAATACTCTTTCGAACATAGTTGAAATGTATCTCGGTGAAACAAGCTAGTGTGTAAGAAACATCCGGCTTCGCGATGGCGTCAAAAAATGTCGACATATTTTCGAGTGCCATTCCAGGAGTTGCATTTGGGGACAGAGGACCTTGCGATTCCCGGATATTTTTCATGATCTGGACAATGTGGATCGCCGACTTGATTCTATCAGGGTCGTCGCCTCGTCCATGCCAGTTGGAAACGCGTTCCAGTAGCGCGGGAGTGTGTACATTAAATATTATGTAATATCCACGAAACTCGGCTTCATTTTCACACGTGATGTCTTGCTGTGCACAATCGTCGTATACTTCGATTAGAGACATCAAAGTCTTGCCCAGCTGCTCAATCTCTTGCTGTTCTGAATAATCGCCGGGCGTGAAACCATCTTGGGAGAGTATGTGAAGCGCCGTAACGTGAAAACGGGCGATCGTTTCAAGGCAATAGACTTGATCCTTCAACTCTTCCGGTGTCATGTCATACTTTTGGAAAGAGAAGTCTATTCGAATAGCGCGGGTTCGATCCCAGAGGAAGCTGTGTCGAGAAGACAGTAAGGCATCTGACGGGATTAAATCGTTGATCAGATAGTCCAGAGTTCGTCGAAGCGTAGTAACGGATCTTACGTCCATCGGAAGCGGTGATTCTTGTCCTGCAGCCGAGCGAGCAAGTCGCTTAACCATAAGCGAGGGCATAGGGACGAGTTCGCCATTATCGTCTGTAACCTTCTCCGGGAGTTTGATATCATGTTCGACGATGCGTGTAATCTTCTCCCACTCAGGACAGAAGTCCTCACAGATGCCCTTGAACACGAGTGCCTCATCAAGTCTTCGCTTCTTGTCCGGATCGTCAATCAGGCCCGCCCGCATCAGCGACTTACGAGCCCGTTCCCGATAGGCCTTGTGGGTTTCGCGGAAGCGTTCGATAACCTGACGTTGATCCTGGCGTCCGGGGTTCACCGGCCAACGAGGAGGTTTGATGTTATCCTTCGCTAGCTGGTTCATGATAGTCTCGGCGAAAGTACTTGTGTTCCCTGTGACTCTAGGTGCTGTTGACCCATTGTTAGATGCTGCGCCTTGCTTGGTATTGCCAGCAGCAGAGCGAGATCGGAGAGATGCAGCGTCGGGGTCTGGCGATGTACGAGAGAATTTGCTCTTTCGCTGATTTTCATTCTCGCTTTTCCGCTTCCCATTGGTCTGGTTATTGGGCGCTTTAAGACCAGCTGCTGGTGTTTGTTTCTCTGCTTGCTTGGGCCATGCTGGCTTAACATACTCGGCGACCTTTCGGTTACTATTGGTAACCGGTCCGATTGGTGCATTGGTCGCATTAAGAGCTGGTGACGATCGCTTCGGAAAGGGGTTTAACGCTGGCGAATTCGATCGCTTGCGTTGGTGTGCGTTGTTAGATTGAGCGAAAGGGTTGGGGT